TAAAAGAAGCAAAGTATGAAAAAATGCATACAACATTAGAGAATTCTGTGGAATTTCGTGTGTTTTACTTCATCACAACTTTATTGTGATTCAGTATATGACTAACAGTGCAATGTTTTTTCTGATACACAAAAGTATTTATTTTCAACCCCAACTATAATTTCATTTGAATAAACTTTGAGGTTTTTGGAGCCAACTCTTTTGTGTCATATAATTGCATACTTCCGTACAAAAGTTTATCACCCTTAGAGTCTCCTTCATTTATGTGAATGCAAACATTGTTTGAAGAGAGGATTAGCTACGGCCATTTTCCATTCAAATTGTGTTGTTGTTGGCCATTGCAGATACAGTATTATCTCTTCTGAAGCGTGAAATTCTGGTTTTACACATTTATTCAAGAAAATAAATTAATGAAATGATTGATTTACATTGTGGGAAAATGCATAGAAGCCAATGAGTAATTATGGAAAGAAGTAATGTCAACATGTATCTTGTATGTTAAAGGCTGAAGTAGAAATGCCTTGCTACATGTAATTATTTGAATAAACTCTATTCTCATTACTTTTAATTACCTTCACCAAATGATCAATAACCAATGATTGGATTATTACTACAGTGTGATACAGTGACTTTCTTTATCAAGCTAATTTGTTTATTTAGGCCAAAGAGGTCATATAACCGTCAGATTCAATGACCATTGAATCTGACTTCATCAAAAATGTGTTTCAGATGAGTCCGAATGCTTTCACCTGTGTGTGAGTGTGTGTTTTTCCTTAGCTTTAGTTAAAACTGGAGTACCTAACTTGTTTTGTTTCATAAATACATATTGTTTTTCCTTACATAAAGAGTTTAAGTAGAATTTTGTGAACAAATGAAACCAGAAAAGTCTGTCTCTATCTAACTAGAACACTTTATTTTGACTTGATTGGGTGAGTGAAGGCTGGGACTCTCTTTTTCACTGTCAAAGCTGATCCAAAAATGTGACGAGGCCAATTCACCTTGGAGAGACCCATGAGGGAAAATGCAGTTAGAAGTTTAGGATTGAGCATGTTTGGCGCCCTAGGCCCGGGAGAGATGCTGTTGAGCGCGGCGCTTGATCGCGCGGATAATCCCCCCCGGGGCTTAGGCACTGGTGACGGCAGAGGCAGTAGGCAAGTACGCTTCGATGAGAGAAGGAGGAGGTGGGGCGGCGGAGGCTTGCAGACTTCAGAAGGCCGGGAAGTGGGCATCTCCGGCTTTTAACTTGCTGTCCTGGTGGTTATTGGTTGATTAGATGTGGGCGTTGCTGGTATTGATGAGTCGAGGATGAGCAGGCTTGTAGGTCTGGGCAAGCAGCAGCCGGGTCTACCACAGTGAACTTTCGCGAAAAGCTCCATTTCACCTTGGAGAGACCCATGAGGGAAAATGCAGTTAGAAGTTTAGGATTAAGCATGTTTGGCGCCCTAGGCCCGGGAGAGATGCTGTTGAGCGCGGCGCTTGATCGCGCGCATAATCCCCCAAAAAGTGGGCCTGCGATGGGATAGCAGGACGCACTGCGCAGGCCTGAGAGCATGAGTGCAAGGCTTCTCGCACGGTTGCTCAGCCGGGCTGCGTCCGCTGGGCATCTTTGAGCGCTGGGAACGTGAGCGCTCGCATCACGTTCGACCAGACGCTGCAGCAGAGTTATCTTTGAGCGCCGGGACATGAGCGCTCGCATCACGATCAACCGGACGCTGCAGCAGAGTTATCTTTGAGCGCCGGGACATGAGCGCTCGCATCACGATCAACCGGACGCTGCGGCAGAGTTATCTTTGAGCGCCGGGACGTGAGCGCTCGCATCACGATCAACCGGACGCTGCAGCAGAGTTATCTTTGAGCGCCGGGACGTGAGCGCTCGCATCACGATCAACCGGACGCTGCAGCAGAGTTATCTTTGCGCGCTGGGAACGTGAGCACTCGCATCACGTTCCGTCAGACGCTGCGGCAGCGGAGAGTGTTTGAGAAAAGTGCGTGCCGCCACCAGAATCTTATTGCTTACTTGCTTTGCAGGGAGCTTACGAGGAAGCCAGTAGACGTTGTGCAGCCAGGATAGCGGACGCGTCTGGCCTGATGTAGGCGGAGAAGCCGAAGAGGACCAGCGCCCCAGCTGTTGCAGAGAGGTGTGGGGGAGCCCCAGCGAGGCCGCGCGCGTGGCAGCGCCTATCCTGAAGGAGTGGGCTGTATAGAGCTGGGGAGACAAATTGCAGAGGAGCAGTAGGGATCTTAGCTGAGCTCTGAACCAGGTTGCTGTCATGGGAAGGTTGTCTGGAGTGAGAATTAGAGGTCCGTTACACTCGCCTCCGCTGCAAAAAGGAGATTTTAACGCATCATGGACCTGTAGGGGCAGAGAGATGTGTCGGAGTGAGCTATTATTATGTTGCAGGCGCCTTTGATCTTTGAATGTTTGAGATGAAGGTTGAAATGGTCAGGGGACATTATGTTGGGTGAAGAAGGCGACCTTTGTTTAATGCTTCCACTACGTCGAGATTATCACACATGACAGAGATCCTCTTTCTCTGCCACGTGTGATTCCACAGCGCGCAGGCCACGACTGCTGGGAATATCTCGTGTAGGGCAGAGGAGATGCTCCGGTGGAAGTAGCGGCCACGGCCCGGCAACCACGGGTCCTGGAAGAACCCCCCAAAACCCACGGAAGGGGCAGCATCTGTGTAGAAGCGGAGACCTGTAGGGGCAGAGACATATCGGAAAGGGCCATTGATGTTGCAGGCGCCCTTACGCTTAGGATCTTGGGTTGGAGAGTAGATAATCAGGATAGGAGGATGGTCGGGAAAGCCGTGTCTCGGACCGCATGAAGGTTGAGTGAGCAATGGTGAAACGCTTACGCAGAGAAGCCATAGAAGGCGAGCAGGAAGATGCTGCGAGGAGGGCAGACATGTACTTGGAAGATGAGCCGGAGTTCAGTGCCGCTGCAGGATGGGCAGCATGATGGGGACGTGTCTGAAAGAGCCGAGCCGTAGAGACAGGTGCAGCCTGGGAGCCTGCGGAGCGGCAGCGGCAGGAACAGCAGCAGCGGCACATGTAGTAGTAGGAGCAGCAGGAGCAGGCAGCAGGGACAGGCAGCAGCAGGAGCGGCAGCAGGAACAGGCAGCAGCAGGAGCGGCAGCTGGAGCGGAAGCGGGAACAGGCAGCAGCGGGAACAGGCATCAGCGGGATCAGGCATCAGTAGGAACGGCAGCAGGGACCGGCAGCAGCGGCGGTCAGAGAACTGTGCCCATGGTTGTTTAAGAGCCTGAGGAAATAAATCAACCAGAATCCGAAACATTCCCATGCGAATAACAGATGTCCCCTGGAGCCATCTTCTGCTTTGGTTATGGCAGATACGCATGAACGATCACTTTTCCATGCGTTCATTAGCTCCAACTCCACTTCAAACCCATTGCAGATTCACATTGGGCCCTTTTTCTTTCTGCTGCACTTTCAAAATGCAACAACTGCGGTTTAGTTACCTAATTTAATACTAGTGACCTAGCTATTTAAATGCATGGCCCCTCCTTCCTCCTGCAGATAGACGAATTTAAATACATTCATTTAACAATAGTGACCTGCGAGTAATGAGATTAATGCTGTAAAGATGGCGCCGTGGCAAGAGTTCTGGTGTGTGCCGTCTGGAGCACGATGGGGTAGTCTTGCAAATTTTTCCAACGTGGTTTTACTGCAAGTGGCAGAACATGAATCTGAATTAATGCACATTGCTCCTCTTATATCCCTCAGACAATAGAGATTGATGCCATTTAATATGCATTGCCCCTCAGTTAGCTCAAACACGTGTGAAAACGGAGCCTGCAGACCAAAGCACGGGGCGAAGATTGACGCCTGCAGTCAAGTGCGTAGGGCAAAAACCAGCCGCCTGCAGCCTAGACTCCGGGATTAATCCGTCCGCGGTCAGCACACTCACATGCCAGGAGACTTGGGAAAGCAACGGGACAACGCGGCACCGCCAATCGGAGGCAGGGACACGCACGGCACCGCCAGACCGTCTGCGTGCGGCAGCAGACCACGAGGAACGAGCAGCACAGAACCTGCAGAGGGGCCCCGCGGAGCAGCCCGCAGAAGAGCCCGCAGAGGAGGAGAGCAGTGGAGACACGCGAACCACAGCAGGTGCAGGGACGCAGAGGAGGAGCAGACCACGAGCAGCCAGACTGAGGACAGCAGGACCACGCGCACGAGCAACACGTGAGCAGAAGCGACCCCTCCAGAACAACGCAGCATTTGCGAACAGGTGCGTTAGCGACATGCACCTTGCAGACTTCAGAAGCTTGCAGACTTCAGAAGGCCGGGAAGTGGGCATCCCCGGCTTTTAACTTGCTGTCCTGGTGGTTATTGGTTGATTAGATGTGGGCGTTGCTGGTGTAATGAGTCGAGGATGAGCAGGCTTGTAGGTCTGGGCAAGCAGCAGCCGGGTCTACCACAGTGAACTTTCGCGAAAAGCTCCATAAATGTGAAAACTAGTGATATAACCAAACCGTTTTGAGAGCTACAAAATAGTTACAAAGATTGCATTCCTATGTCTAATGTTTTGTTTTGTTTTAAAAGTTTTGTACATTTAAGAATGAAATTTTGCCGTTTTGAGCCCTCTTTGGTTTACCTACCCACAACATCATGTTATAATGTTTTAGTAAATTTCTTATTGAAAGATACTTTATTGATCCTGTAGGATAAACTTAGGAGTCCAGCAGAAACACATCCATCCATTCAAACAAATAAACACATACTGTATCTCTAAAAGTTACTAACAATACACTATATATTCTACACAGCACAGCTCATTTAGACTCAATTTGGTGAGATTATTTTTGTTATCACCAAGACTAGACAGAATTTTAATGAAGAAGAACTGATAAACTTCATTCCAAACTTCTGGTATTTTCACTTCTGGTAGAGTTACCCGCTCACTTCCCATAATTGTGAGCCGTTTCTCATTTGTGTCAATATGGTTCTGATGTGGTTCTTCTTCGTTGCAGGTTTTGTAGTGGGACACTGCGGACTGTACCAAGCGTTCGGGATGTTCTTTGTGGCTTACGTCATCATCTCGCTCACGGTGCTGTCGGTGTGTGCCATCTCCACCAACGGAGCCCTGGACGCCGGAGGAGCCTACTGTATCCTTGGAAAATCATAGGACATGAAGGATCTTAGCATGTGGCATTTTCCTATTCCCCAAATAAGGGTCATGTGAGCCCAGTCAAACCAGAACAACCAGGAAGTGGAACAGTATAGTTTCATATTAGTTTCATATCAGCTAAAGGTGCTCATGGAACTTTTCTGACAGTATTTCCTTCGAATGAACCTCAGCATGATATAAAACATGTACTTTTTAAAATAGGTACACTTTTCTATTTCAGAATTCTATTTCAGTGTGAGGGAAGGTGCCAAAAGAAGTCTATAGGAAAGAAACAATCTTCAAAGCTATCCAAATTATATATATATATATATATGAAAATAATTTAATTCTTATGTGTCTTTGGAATATTGTCACCATTTCTAGACACCTTTTATGAGAAAATAATTAGACCGTAGTTTATTTGTTCTGACAACACAACAAAGAAGATAAACTGACTAAGTTTTTGTTTTCAGAAAAGACAGAGAAATTAGATCCAAAGTTCTACCATAATGTATGAATGTTGTGATTTCACCTGAATGTAGCCTATTAAAAAAATATTGGTAGCACTTTCGATTAGCCATCACTAATCAATCGCTTATTAAGTGCTAAATAGTGTAACAGGGGCGACAGTAGCTCAGTTGGTAGAGCATTAGCCTTTGGGCCTGAAGATTGTAGGTTTGAGCCCTTCATGACTCCCACTGATGGCTGGTGTCGTTGTGTCCTTGGGCAAGACACTTAACCCCACTTTGCCTGAAGCCCCCGCTGAAAGATCTAGGCCCCTGTGGACTCACCACCTGCAGGAGGACCAGTGAGGGGCTGGTGCTAAGTATAATGGGTGCAGCTCTGACTGCCACCCCCCCGACCCAGAAATGGAATAAGGGGAAGAAAAGGATGGATGGATGGATGGATAGTGTACTTAGCCTTAACCCTAGACTGAGCCCAAACCCTAGCCCTAACCTTTCAGTTAGTAGTTAGTTAGATGTTGAATATAAATACCAATTAAGAGCTAATTAACCATAAATCATACACTAATTAGCACTTAGTTAGCTGTTAATTAGTGAGGGCAGTGAGTCTGTCCCAAATATTTTGACTGCTCAAAAACCTGTGTTCTGACACGGTCGACTCTCCACAGATATGACCTGTAACTTTGTGATGTCACTCAGATACATGCAGACAGTGAATGCCGCACTGTGGAATATTCCATACAAAACAACATTGAGATGGACCCAAGCATAAAGCAGACCACTGGGAAAAATATGGTCTATTCTTATACGAGCATTACATTCTGGACATACAATAGAATATACTATTCTCAAACACGACTCATTATGTTAAAGTAACCGCCCAGTGCCTCACATTGAGTGTGTCGTACCTCACTCATAGTTTCCTGGTTTGGTCCTTAATGTTTGTCAGACATGATCAGCAGAGCTCTTGGTCCAGAGTTTGGCGGCAGCATCGGCCTCATGTTCTTCCTGGCCAATGTGTGCGGCAGCGCCCTCTATGTGCTGGGTTTGGTGGAGGCGGTTCTTGCCACTTTCGGTGTTCCGGAAGGTATGCTCTACAAGTTTGTTCAAAGTTAGAAGTGTTTGAGTCAAAGCCAGAAACTTTCAAGTCGGTCTTGACATTGAGGCTCAATACCACACATTGAGGGCGACAGTAGCTCAGTTGGTCGAGCATTGGCCTTAAGGCCAGAAGGTTGTGGGTTCAATTCCTACCTCTGCACCTTCTCCATCGACTCCCACTGATGACTGCTGTCGTTGTGTCCTTGGGCAAGACACTTAACCCCACTTTGCCCAAAGCCCCCACTGAGAGATCAAGGCCATGCTCACAGTCAGAGAGCAGCCGTCCTCCTGTGGACTCACCACCTGCAGAGGGTCAGTGAGGGGCTGGTGCTATGAGACTTGGGTGGCATCTCTGACTGCCACCCCCCTGACCCAGAAATGGATTAAAGGGTAGAAAATGGATGGATGGACCACACATTGATTGGTCGTCCCACTTTCAGACGGCATCATCACGAGCCAGTACCAGGTGCTGCCGTCGGGGTACTGGTGGTCCCTGCTGTACGGGACGGTGATGGCCCTGCTGTGTCTGCTGGTGTGTTTGGTCGGAGCCGATATCTACTCCAAAGCCGCCTTCCTCATCTTCCTGGTGGTGATGGTGGTCCTGCTCACCATTTTCATCAGCTTCTTTGCCGTGACGCCTCACGTGGTCACGCTGCCGGCCGAAGCCACGCTCAACCCCAACGGCAACGGGACCCTGGGCCCCACCACGGCCAACTTCACCGGCTTCAAGATCGACACTCTCCTGGGAAACCTGTGGGGTGAGTGCATGCTTTGTGTTGTGTTAAAAGTATTAGCAGTTTGTATGAAAATATGTATTGTGTGTTTGTGTAAGCAAGTAAGTAATCTTTATCTATAAAGCACATTTTTACAGACTAATGTCACCCAAAGCGCGTGTGTTTGGGTGTGTGTGTGTTTACGTGTGTGTTTATGTGAGTATGTAAGTGAAATGTATGTATGTTAGAGCGAGTGTAAGTATGTGAGAGTACATGTGTAAAACTGTGATTATTGTATTTTCAGTGGTTCCTCGTTTTTGGCATGGGTTTCGTTCTAAAACGTACAAAAAAATGCATAAACTCCTCACCACACACTTTACACACTTTTCTAACCACCTGAACTCACGACTGCTGAAGTGTGATTGTGCAGATGTCAAAAACTGGTTTGTTTGTGAGTTTAGTTATGACAAAATGTACAAAGAAAAAAAAAGAAGACAAAAGATGCATCCAAATCCAGCTGAATTTCACCTATCAAACTGGCAACCCAAATGAGAGCCTCATTCTGCTCTCTGGTTGGTTTAGACATTGTTAACATGAATATTATGGACATGGTGTCTTTAGTTATTGTAATTAACTTTACTTGAAACTTTTGTTCAGAAAATGTCAAATCTGATTTGTACATGTGACCTGTTATCTGGGGACACTTATAAAAGATGAAAATATTTGATCCCTCCTTTTAAAGAAAGGAATCAACTGCAAAAAACAAACAAACCAGTAATATTTTGTCTCATTTAAACTTAATATCTATAGAGCTTTCATACTTACATACTTCTATAGTATTGCATACATTCATAACCATGTCATACAGCATTCAATCTAACTTTTCCTGGATGAAAAGAATGGCGGCAGGTGAAAAATAGTGAGTGATGCTTTGGTCAAAACTCGCCCCATATCTGTCAAGGCTTTGTAACAAAACCTGAAAATTACTCAGTCAAGCTTTGAATGAATGTGTCAAACTGTACAAAGAAATTCAGTGTCGTGGGGTTTTTCTATTCTGCTGCAACGCTTCAAAAAAATGAAAATCTCAGTGACCAATCCGTCACATCCCAGCAGCCCATCGGAAACTCCGCGCCGACTTACTCCTGTCGTTTCTGCGGTCATTTCTAATTCGACACAGTTTTCTCCTGATTACACAGCGTGAATTGTCCAGCTCATTTGTTTACAAGGATTTCCAGACATGTGATTACTAAGCTAATTGACCTAACTAAGGTGCATGTGATTGGAGCACACGCAATCCTATTTCATGGTACCATAAGCCATCTACTGTTATTCTAACTGCGTGTAACATATACAGTACGTCTAAGGTTGGAATATCGCGAAAAGGTGCCATAGTACCACTAACACTACATTGAAATATTTAGTTATCTGTGTAATCAATCTATAACATAACATTTTCTGTAAAACACTTTTTGGTAATATCCCACTGTTTTTGCAATAAATGTGTACAAAAACACATTTATCGCAAATGTGTTTTCTCCAGAAACTTTTGACCACTAGATAGAACGCTAGTCTTTACAGCTCTTTTATAAACATAATAAGTAAGCAATTCAAGTTCCGCCTGAGCACGTAAGGCAGGTCGTTAATTGTCTTAAAAGCGGAGTCACAATGTACATCTGACCAAAGTAAAACAGAAAACATTGACATTTTTTACATACTGAGAACTGACTGGCTAAATGATGGAAGGTTCTCCACTGAAAAAATACATCTATGTGAAAACTAGTGATAAAACCAAACTGTTCTGAGAGCTATAGGAACTAGTTACATGGATTCTGGCACATTGTTACATATTTGTTGTAGTACTCCAGCTTTAAGAAATGATTTCAGATTCTAAAACATATAATACCAACATGATCACGATGATTTTTGTTCTTTAAAGGCAGTGTTCCCCAACCTTTTTGAGCTGTGGCCCACCTTTTTATCATTGAAGACAGTCACATGGCTCACCACCAGCTGTAACTGATATACAAAGGAAACTCTGCAGCCTTTATTATCATTCAAACTGTGTTCTATAGAAAATCAAACTAGCACAAAACAGTTTTTCGGATCTTCTCAGATTTTTTTTGTTTTTTCCACATTATTTTGACCAATTAGGTGATATTGGATCATTTCCAAAGGTCTAACAAACAGAATCTCAGGGCACATCAATGTACCACGGCTTTGCTTATCCCAGACCCTCGTGCTGCTAACGTAGAGATGTAAACACACAAGTATTTGCAGTAGAATATACAGCATTTTATACTTGCTCCTTTATTATGCTCAGTCAGGGGTTTTTGTACTTAAGTATTGCTTCTTCTTCACGCTAAATTGGGGATTTTAGACTTATTTCCTTATTACGCTAAATATTGAGATTATGTACATGCTTCTTTTTATGCTAGAGTTAGAGATTTTATTTTATTTTAGTATAGAGTTATTATTCTTTTCTCTTGTGTTGTGTGCCCCTCATTCCTACTATTCTGTAACTTGTGATGCAACACTGAAACTTCCCCACTGTGGGACGAATAAAGGATCTTAATCTCAAAAAGGTTGGGGACCACTGCTTTAAGGCATCCACCCTGACCTGAGATGGATATAGATTTCTTTCCCGTCGCCATTGCCTTGTAAACCGCACAAACGACAGCTGCTCCTCCGGGCTGTAAAAAGCGACGGTTTTGGTTCGTGCGCAGGTGACAAAGAGGGACAGCGCTTGTCAGGAAACTAAATTGAACTTTTTTTTTGTGGAGACGGATGGTGTTGAAGTTTTGTCTGATGGTGCGTTATCTCTGCTCACAGCCGACTACACGGAGGATTACACTACGCACAAAATGATGACCTTCGCCACGGTCTTCGCGGTCATGTTCAACGGCTGCACGGGGATCATGGCCGGCTCAAACATGTCCGGTGAGTACAGGGAAGAGCAGGCATCATGGACAAAGTTGCAATACTTGAGTGGAGATAGTCTCTTCTGTTGTATTCAGACTTAAAGTTGCATTACACAACTTTTGGATGGAGTTCTGGGGGATATTGTTGTCATTAAGGTAATATCGATTTGCGGGAAGGCTCTCCTCTCCGCAGACTTATAACCAAGCCCCGGCGATCCAAGATGGCGCCCTATTCAAATGAATGGTTGTGCTCAGTGGCGCTTTGTGACGGCATGGGGGCTGAAAGATTAGCGGAAGTTGCCTGAAACTCACAAAGATCTAGGGGAAACTCGCCTGTATTTGGGCATCGTCTGGTCCTCCCGGTTCTGCGCAGTGGATGATCTCCCATAATGCGTTGCGCCAAACACGCGTGTGTGGGTCTCACACCGGGTCTCACGCACGTGCACAGAGGGGCTCGGCCGCGCTCTGACCAATCAGAGCAGTTCATCAGAGCGGGAGTTAGAGCGAGAGCCAGAGGAGCAGAGTTTGTGGCACTAAAGTGTGGATTTAAACAAAACCGAAGGATTTAAGAAGAAAAAAAGTTCAGGGACACTAAAATCCCCACAAAATCCTATCTTTATTGAAGCTGTAGGTTCTCTGTCAGCTGAGGTCGAGCTGTTTTAATATGCATTGAGTCCTATGGGGAAAATGTCTGGGTAGCCCACGTGAATTTAGTCTGGTTCAGTCTGCAGTACCGCGAGAATCCCCCGAGCACGTGAGTTATTCAGCTACAAGCTAGTAATACCCTATCCAGTTAATATAATAGATCCATGCTTGTAACTTAGCTTAGTGTAGTGGCTTCCTTGCTTGCAAATAGACACATAGACACATTTTTGTGCCATAATGAAAAACAAATACCAGTGCATACAAATAAATGGACTCAAAAGGCTTTGAGCTTCACAACGAGGTATAACATGCCTATATTGGAGAAGCGGAAGTTGGCTGGATCACACTATGAACTTGTGTTTATAATCTCAATGGTATTTTTGGTAAACAAGGCATAGGGCCACATAGAATGACACAGCGGGCCGCAATTGGCCCTCGGGCCTTCGGACCATAACAAAAAAATATATTATATATTATATTTGTAATAATATAATAATAATATAGAATATAATTATAATTTGAATGTTGGTCTGTTGTAGGAGACCTGAAGAACCCCAGCTACTCGATCCCTCGCGGCACCATCACCGCCGTCATCTTCACCTACATCATCTACAACCTGCTGTGTGTGCTGGAGGCCTGCTCCTGCGACAGGTCAGAAACACGCTCTGTGGTCCACACTGCCGGCTCCTCTCTGCCGGCTCCTAAGTGGATTTTGCTTTTTGTGTTTTTTTTGTAGAGCTTTACCTAAACAATAAATGGGAGACCACTGTATTATGAAATGAAAGACTAGACTCCATGTGACCCATAGAGTTCTAAGTGTCAAGAACAAATTGAATCTAGGTCACGTGTGATGAAATGAGATTTTGTTGTAGACTGTGGTCCTTGTTAACTTGTGTCAGACATATTTCAAAGGAAGTGAAAAATGCAGCTTAATGAGACCAGAGCTCAAAGCTACACAAAATTAGCTGTTTTTACATAATACCATAGAGCACCGACGTCAAACCCAAGGACTTGCAGTAGTGATGATAAGGGTAATAGGAGCTATCATGGCGTCAACCATATTATTAATTATCAACCAGAAGTGATGATATTCCAAAAGATTGAAGCCAACACGTAATTATAAATTATGAATTTGGAAATGTAAATCATTGGACAATCCTTTTTAACTTTTACTCAGCTTTGGTTCAGTTCAAACATACAGTAACTGAACTAGTTTTGCCCAGATAAATCTACAAAAAAATTTTGAATTCAGGTTCAATTAAAAAAATCCTTTCTAAACACACTAAAACACACTCAAAAATGCCAAAGATGAGCTTCAAACACTTCTATATTTAGTTTGGATAGTCAATGAAGAGTCCATGATCAGTCCATGGGATGAACAAAAATACCTGACCTGAAAAGGAGGTCATAATCAAATTCAGTTTCAGTTACCAGTAACATATTAAAAACACAAATCAGTACCAAAAAAAAACCGGCACCTATATCACATCTTTCACTTGTACAATCAATAGTTGTACGACAGTGAGAGTGGAGGAGGGGGCGGAGCAGGAAGTTACCTAGGCAACCAGGACGTTTATCTTCCTGATGTTGTGATTAGGGCCAATCAGTGGAAAGGGCAAATATAATATGTTTAATAATAATAATAATATTGATAAATGATAGGGGAATCACATCATGGGTGTTACACAGTATATTGCATATGAAAGTATCCACATCTGTTCTGGCCATAGGAGAAGTGAATAGAAGGCACACACATCCAAAGTTTCACCTAGAGTAGATCCACACAGCTGATCCACACAACTCCCCAGTGTCATTTTTTAAAGACTACAAGGATGTGACATTTTGGGGGCAAGTGGCCTTACATCAGACCTAAACAAGTTACCGTGTCTCAATATCGTCATGCTTTTAAACCACACTACAACATTTGTTTTACTACGTATACTTTGACAACTATTACTGCCTCTGCCTTAGCTCACTTTTCCCCACCTGGCTCCATGATACTCATTGGGTTACAAAAAAGACAAACTTCTTTCATCTGTAATTAAAACTTCAACTATGAAATGAAAGCTGGTTGCTGCTGTAGAATGAGATGTTTGCATGTTGAGCTAGCAGCAGATAAAATCCAATGCTCTCAGATAATGCAGACAAGGCTCATTTTCTGCTTCACTAAACAGAACAAAGTCATCACAGGAGAAGCGATTTTAAAAGCGTCTACTCCCCTCCACAGTTATGTGACCGTGGGTGTCACTTAATCAATGTGAACGTATGAATTTGAGGATAGCCGTTTGTGCAAACTATTAATAATAATGAATTGGGTGTTACATCCAACATGGGCTTGTGATTATGTGGTGGTCGGATTGCATAGAGAGAAAACCTATGGAGGAAGAACATACTGTATTCTTTGTATAAAAGTAGTACATGGACAACATATTTTTTATAATCTCAAAACATGTTACATTAAATATCCAAATATTTTCATCATTGCACTTTGGATTTCACAAGTTAGAGGATGATAGGCTTTGTGAGTGACGGGACGAAGTATTTAAATTGAAATGATGTTACCAGCCTTTTGTGGCAGCTACTGCAAGTGAAAATTCTGATCCAGCCAGGTGTGTGTCTATGTGTGTGTGTGTCTGTGTGTGTGTGTTTGTGTGTGTGTGTGTGTGTTTGTGCGGGTGTGTGTGTCTGTGTGTGTGTGTGTGTGTGTGTGTTTGTGCGGGTGTGTGTGTGTGTGTGTGTGTGTGTTGTGTGTGTGTGTGTGTGTGTGTGTTTGTGCGGGTGTGTGTGTCTGTGTGTGTGTGTGTCTGTGTGTGTGTGTGTTTCTGTGTGTGTGTGTTTGTGCGGGTGTGGGTGTGTGTGTGTTTGTGCGGGTGTGTGTGTGCGTCTGTGTGTCTTTGTGTGTGTTTCTGTGTGTGTTTGTGCGGGTGTGTGTGTGTGTGTGTTTTTGCGTGTGTGTGTTTGTGTTTGTGTGTCTGTGTTTGTATGTCTATGTTAGTGCGTTTGTGTGGGTGTCTGTGTGTGTAAGGCAAGGCAAGGCAAGGCAAGTTTATTTGTATAGCACAATTCATACACAAGGCAACTCAAAGTGCTGAACAAGATAGCATTAAAATCATAAATAATTACAGAACATTAAAACGAAAGATAAAAATATAAAATCCCTCAGTTGTATGCACAGCTAAACAGCACCGTTTTTAATCTGGTTTTAAACATTGTCAGAGAGGAGGCCTGTCTCATATCTTCAGGAAGACTGTTCCAGATTTTAGCAGCATGAATCTGAAAAGCAGCTTCCCCATGTTTAGTTCTGACTCTGGGCACTAACAGGAGTCCAGTCCCTGTGCTCCTCAGAGTCCGGGCTGGTTCATATGGGACTAACATGTCACTAATATATTTTGGTGCGAGGCCATGGAGAGACTTGTACACAAGCAGAGCTGTTTTAAAGTCTATTCTCTGAGCCACAGGAAGCCAGTGCAGGGACCTGAGGACTGGACTAATGTGGTCGTACTTCCTGGTTCTAGTCAGGACTCGAGCTGCTGCATTTTGAATGTACTGCAGCTGTTTTACAGCCTGTTTGGACAGACCTGTGAGCAGGCCATTGCAGTAGTCTAACCTACTGGAGACAAATGCATGGATAAGAATCTCCAAGTCTGCTTTAGACACTATGTTTTTGATCCTGGCAATGTTTTTTAGATGGTAAAAAGCTGCTGATGTTACTGATTTGATGTGGCTATTAAAATTTAAGTCTGAGTCCAGTATTACCCCTAGATTTCTGACCTTGTTTGAAGGTTTTAGGGAGAGAGACTGTAGATGACAGATGACGCTCTCTCTTTGTTTCTGGGGACCAAAGACAATCATTTCAGTTTTGTCTGCGTTTAGCTGAAGGAAGTTTTTTTGCATCCACTCACTGATCTGTTGGATACAGTGAAGGAGTGAGTCCACTGGTCCTTGTTCTCCTGCAGTCAGTGAGACATAGATCTGAGTGTCGTCTGCATAGTTATGATAGGAAACTTTATTTCTGCGTATTAACTGACCTAACGGCAGCATGTAGAGATTGAACAGAAGAGGTCCCAGGATCGACCCCTGTGGGACTCCACAGGTCAGGGCCATATGATCTGAGACACAGTTTCCAATCTCCACAAAGTACTTCCTGTCTTCAAGGTAAGACCTAAACCAACTTAGGGCGGTGCCAGCGACGCCAACCCAGTCCTCTAGTCTCTGTAAGAGGATCTCATGGTCGACAGTGTCAAAGGCAGCACTTAGATCTAACAGGATTAGGATTGAGACTTTGCCTGCGTCAGTGTTCAGCCGGATATCATTTGTAACCTTGACGAGAGCAGTCTCAGTGCTGTGGTGGGGTCTAAAGCCAGACTGAAACATATCAAATGAGTTGTTGATTATAAGAAATCTAGTAAGCTGTAGGTAGACAACTTTTTCAAGGACTTTCCCCATAAATGGCAGATTTGAGATGGGACGATAGTTGTTAAGTACCGTAGCATCCAGACTGCTCTTTTTTAGCAGCGGCCTGATGACTGCAGTTTTCAGGGCCTTTGGGAATATTCCAGAATCAAGGGACATGTTTACTATCTGTGTGAGTGAAGGTAACAGACTGCTCAGAACAGACTTTAGAAATATAGTGGGTAGTACATCCAGGCTGCATGTGGAGGAGCTCAAACTGGAGATTATCTCTTGGACAGTTTGATCATTTACAGGTGCAAAGTAAGTTAGCTCAAAGAGCCTTTCTGGCTGTTGGATTGTTATCAGTGGATTGGAGACAATGGCGTTTTTGATGCCTTGAACCTTGTCATTGAAAAAATGTGCAAACTCATTACATTTACGTTTGGAAGTTAGCTCTAATGGCATTTGAACAGGGGGGTTTGTTAATCTATTAACTGTTGAAAACAGAACACGCAGATTGTTGCTGCAGCCTTCAATCATTTCAGAAAAATACCTTTCTCTCGTACTACGTAGCACCTGGTTAAACTCGCACAACTTATCTTTGAAGATCTTGTAATCAACCTGGAGGTTGGACTTGCGCCACTTCCGCTCGGCCCTCCGGCACTCTCTCTTTTGTGCCCTGACCGAGTCTGCTTTAGCCCATGGCGCCTTCTGCTTATTTTTCACTATTTTAACCTTCACAGGAGCGATGGTGTCCAGAACTTTCAAAACACTAGAGGTGACAGAGTTGAACAGTTCATCTACAGTAGAATACGATGCATTCTCAAAGTTTATCATTCCCATAAATAGTTCACCCGTATTTTCATTTATGTGTCTTCTTCGTACAGTTGCAGAGTCCACTGGTGGTTTGTTAGTGAAACACATGTCAAAAAATATACAAAAATGATCCGAAAGCGCAACATCGACCACGTTTACATTATAAATGTTCGCCCCCTTTGTAACTAACAAGTCTAGAGTGTGCCCTCTGCTGTGGGTGGGGCCACTCACATGCTGAGTGAGACCAAAAGATTCAAGAAGAGAACTCAGCTCTTTAGCATTTCTGTCATCAACATTATCCACATGAATATTAAAATCACCTGTAATAACTAAACTATCAAAATCTGTGCATACAACTGAAAGCAACTCTGTAAAATTATCAATAAAACTGTGACATGACTGCGGTGGCTTGTATAGGACAACGAAAAGTATTGGAGGAGATTGTTTTTGTTGTATTTTAAAAGACACATATTCAAAAGACGGAAACTTCCCAAGAGACATTCTATGGGAGACAAAGTGGTCTCTGAA